CACACTTTTTCTGAAACTGTAATTAATGCAATTTAACCATTTTGTAGTCTCAATAACACTTTCTCTTCCACTTGTTTGAGCCGCCGGTTTTTGAAACAATGGTCATTAGAAGTTTTTTACAAACGTATCTTCTATCATGACAACTACATTCGTGTAAAACTTTCTGGCATAAACAAGTAAAAAAAAACTCAAAAGAAGTTCGGGAATTTTTCAGTTATTTCTCACTTTATATTAGAGGTCAATTTCTACACCGAAAAGTGAGGTTAAGTTAGTGATAAAGTTACATTTGACCATAAATAGGCTTTTATACAAGTTTAGTGGTCAAATCGAATTATTAAAAAGAAATTTAAAGTTATCAAAAAAAGTATACCATTGTACCGCTATTCAATCCTGTGCGCTGCAATAACGGCACGATCGTGTGGACGAAGCGATTGAGCGCCCAGTCTGAAATGAGAATTGCACCGCAACGGTAATTCGATAAAATACGCGCTGCCAGCAGTGAACAGCGTATAATATTCAATTATATTATTCGAGTACCTCGCCTGCCGTATTTAGTTAAAAATAGAAAATCGACGAATTTTTACCTAATGAAAAAATGTAAAAAATGCCGAATTGGACCAATAAAATTTTAAATTTTTCACCCGATTATTAACTGAAGTGCTAAAGTTGTGCGAAAATGCTCTCAAATATGTAATAAACTGTTTGAGAATTTGTTGCAGAAAGTATTTATAATTTTTACATAAGTGGCTCGCAACGCGAAAAAAAATAATAAGTACAAAATAGCTAATTTTGAATGTGAGTGAAAAACGAAGGTGTTCAAGTTGTTTGATTTTCATATAATGCAAGCAGACGATGCACCGACCACAAAACGGGATGATGCCAGACCACAACAACAACAGAAATCATCTCAAATTGGAARAAAAGGACACAACGAATTTACATAAATATGTGTACATATGCTCGTTCAATGGTGAAAGTTTACAGAATTAGCTTGGCTGGAATTGTTTTATTGGCAAAATGGCCACCTTTYGGCACACGAAAAGATATATTAATCAATCGCTTGATGGGCTTTTACTTGTAAACAAATCAAATGCGAATTTTTCACCATTCGAAATGTGTTTTTTCTCATTATTTCTTTTCGRCAATTTTTTTGGGTTGTGGAATTTTCGCAAACAAACAATTAGACAAATTCAATAAGCCTATATTATATACTATATATATTCATGAGCATAGAATTTTTGTTTCTGTTTTGAAAGAGAAAAAATTTAACCACATGTCTGGCACGCACGTAATATCTCTCTCTCTCTCTGTCGATTTATTGAAATACGCGCATTTTTGTATATTTAAATGTTATCAACGGCAATAGCGTTGYGRCCAAGAGATTAGTTTYGTCTTAGGTTTTTATTTCGTGTCARTTAAATATCACAAATCTTTTGAAATTKGAATCTGGCAGCAACTAGGCATTGTTTATACTCGTATGCATATTTTACATATCCACCCTAAAGCCATGAACAACTGTAAAATCTGCTAATAWATACAAGACACATCCAATTATTAAGAATTTAATGATTTAAATTATCATTTACTSGAATCCATTTTTACTACAGACTATGAAAAATACATATAATGTACAAATTCACAAAAGTAATTTACGCACTCTTTCTAAGAATAAATTTCATAAACTTTCCAACAGCTTCTAAGCAATTCCAAAAATTATTTTTGTTAGCAAAATTTGTTTAGCTATAACACTAAAATATTTACAAGAAATTGTCTATTTCATAACAATGGAAATAGCTGTTGTTTATATGTATCTATTACTTCCTCGAAATACAATTAAATACGAAAGCCTTGAAACCGATGAACTTGAATTGAATACAATTTTCGAAGTAATTTCAAGAAGATATTGAATATTTRATTGATTATTTGTTTTAGTATAAATTTCTTTAAAAATGAAAATGTATTTATCAGCTAATCAAATTTGACACCGACTGTAAAAAAAGCTTTCATTTCAGGTAATACGTATATTTATTATCGCCTTCAAAATAAGCTTCAGAGGTAATATAAACATGACAAAGCATAATCCAATTTTCTATACACGTGTTTTAAGTCTCGGCTAAGATGATCTTTAGTGCATAAAGAGGATTTCCATTTTTTCGGTTTCGGCTAATTTAGCGTGCGCCGTCTGCAAGATTGTTAGACAGTTTCTCTGCCTTATTAATAAAGCTATGTCTCAGCACCAGCTATATAATTTGATGAATACAGGATCCTCATATAGGTTGTGAAGCATCTCTTTTGCGACCTCTATTCGATGTCATTTTTACAAAATATCCAAGTCTTTCAATAATATTTTATCATAARCACGCTTTAGAACAAAAACATTAGCCAAAATGTGTTCGAGTTGATCTGTAAGAGAAACTAACATGACGATTGTCAAGTACTCTTCCTTTAAAATTTTCGATAATATCGTCATCAACTACGATGGATGGATGGACGACTCCCATGAAGTAGTTTTCGACGAATTCAGGACCTTCTCTGAAGGCTTTGTCCCACTCAAATGCTTGTATTCGTGATGAAGTAGACTCCTCAGACACTTCTGCAACATTTTCAGTTCATTTAGGAAAAATTTTTATCGACTCAATTTGCGCACGAAGTTTATACAAACTAGTCCGCGACAAATTGGATTGGGAAATGGTTTAAATATTTGCACTTGACCTATCTCAACAAATCTTCTTTCAAACTTATGGAATACTGTCTCCAATGGAAAAATGGCAAAAAGTGTTCGACCAAAATGGTACATTGCTGGATTTGAAGTTACACGGTTGAAAAAAAATTTACATAGTAGTAACTGGGAAATCCCCTTATGATACCGACTTTAGTCCAGTTCATCGCAAACAATTGCGCCTCTTATCAAGTAGCGACGAATGATTATGGAGCTACATATGTAAATATTTTTTCCTTATTTCTATTCTAATTTTTCTGTTCTTAGTTCTGAATTAACAGATTTCTTTTGTTTTTTGCTTAATCTGTAAATTTTTCACCTGTATGAATTATGTATTTTAAGTTGTAATGCTCAATAAAATGCCATATGAACATACAATTTGTATGCGTATCTGAAATTTTATAGTTTCCAACATTTTTTACACGGCTTTTCGAAGTAAATATAGTTCTTGATTTCACTTTACACGTCTTTTTCAGATGTCATGGAATGTATCCCCCATTTTACTATAGGAAACGCCTCTTTTTTTACACTGATTTCTGAGGAACGTATCTACCGTGTAAAAAAAGAGTTGGGTGTACTTAATATGTTGATGCCCATTCCCCTATTAACAATGATTTCTTTTTAGTAAAATTGGTCCAAATATTATATTGTTAAATCGATAATTTCTCATAAGTCTTCCCCAATATTGAGCAAAGTTAATACAAACCTCTATCTTGAGGGTGTTAAAAATAAATAAAGGCAATGCACTAACTTCATATACTATGTACATATTCCATAAAACTCTCAATGAAAATCTGAAGCCCAAATGATAGCCATATGAAATTGGCCTACACAGATAATTTAATATCCGTGTCTTCATATGACTTCCCATCGAAAGTTCTGAATGCGAAATAAATAATTTGGCTTGCAACTTATGTTATAACTACATACTACATACATATAATACGATGTTACTCATACGCCCTGTACACCACCTTTATTTATATGAATATAAACATTCGTAATTAGTGCACGTTTATTCGTATCTCTTGACAGATTTCTTAAAGTTCGTAGAAAAGTTACTCATAAAAAATAATGTATTCTGAAAATTAATATAAACAAAAGTTTAAACATTTTTCATTGAGTTGTTGTAGAACTATATTTCGACACCTAAAATGTAAAACAATTTACCAACAAACAATTAGAAATAGCGAACTGCATATTAATTCTATTCATTATGGTATACGATTTCAATTATTTGTGTTTAATTTTTGGGWATCGCTTTAAAATTTCGTGGCTTAAAAAATATCTAAACAATTAAGGTTAACTTCAAYTCTATCTAAGCAATAATACATATACACAGGTGCATGTATTATATATAGGTGTATGTACAATAATTAAAGGGAATTTCAGAATTAAAATTTCGCGTGTTTGGATAAAAATGAAGTTCGTGAATGCTTGGCCAAAAACAATACCGTAACGTTGACCAGCCTACATACTCGCCAGACTAMATGTGATCTTTTCCTATTTCCGAAAATGAAAACAGCCTATCTATGTTATGCTTGTACAGATAATTTTAACAGCGCATCGCTGAAAGTGTCAAAGAAGTGTTTCGGCGATTGTATATACATATATATACCGTATATGTATAACCAAAACTGAAACATAAMCTGCCATAGATTTTCATAAAAGGAAAAAATCTTGCTGATTCTTTCTTCAGACATTGTTTGGTATACACAAGCTTCAAGTGGAATTAAGGTTAAGGAAAAAAATATGATAATGMAAAAATTCATATCAAAATTTCAAAACAATATCTCAGGAAGTATGTGACTAGTTCACGATTTTGAATTTAAGTGACTAGTGACAGGCAGGTAGACCTGACTAAATCGGCTCGGCTGTTTACGCCTATCATTTATATATTTACATACATATATAGTATATTTTATAGAGTCTCCCACGTTAACTTCTCGGTATTRAAAAATTCGTCGCACACTTAATAGCTAAGATTGCCTGTTCGGGGTATAAAAAAGCGATTACGAAAAAATTGTGACAAATTTATGGCTTTTCTTTCAGGAAGAGCACAAAGTAAATTAATCAACCGTAAATCGCTTGCAACATTTAAATAAAAATCAAAGAACTCTTGACATGAGTACAAAGACACAAAAATAATTATACAAGTGCCCATAGCACATTGTGAATCTAGCATATGTATGTATGTATATAGTATCAGTATATACACATGCTCGTACGCCTGCACAGATCAGCTTAAGTGAGCAAACATTTTCGATTTCCGTATGTTACTTGATGCAACAAAACGAATAAATACCCACCCACGCACCATCTGCTATATATTCATATATTTGGTATATAAATATATGTACATACGCGTGCACATATTTATTCTCATGTCAGTACATATACATACATCAAGCACGAATTATAATTTACTTTACTAATAAAAGCGCTGCAGCACAGACCCTAGCGCCTGCCATCGATCGATGCAGCGCCGAATCRTTTATAGGCTAAAAATAAAAGCTAGCCGGCTGGCTGCAGCATGTCATCGACTGCTTGCCGACAGCAGMGTCTGCCGCTAGCTGCAACATTGCTTTCTTTACAATAGCCAAATGGTGTGTTGACGATGATCTTGCTGATTTYGCTATATATACCGTTGGTTGAATGTGTTGAACGCGTTCACACTCCATATCACGGCTATAAAATTTACTTTAAACAGTCGTCCGTTATGCACCAACGTTGCAATCGCTTAACGCAGCAAATAATCAGAATTTCAGTTGTATTGACTTGGTGCGGACGTTGCTGAAAACCCTTATTTACAAGCAGAATCAAGATCGCAAGCTTTATTTGTGTTTACATACGAGCACATTACAGTAAAATATATTTTTTTTCGTGAATCTGTAGTAAATGAAATATTTGTATTTAAATACACGAAAGTATTTTCGCTATGCCACTGAGTGTTTCATTCTAGGTGCATAACGGTGTCAGGGACTCGCGTGKTAAGCATACACACAGCCGAAATGCCTTGATGAGCAGTCACTGTCCGAACACTCGTCTCTGAATTCGTAACGCAAACGCACGGTGACGAAATGTTTCAAAATCAACCGACTACAACAACAATATTTCGACGTTCGCAGTCATTATTTTCACCGCTTCAGTGATAGAATAGTTGACTTACGCTGCATATGTATATATAGTACTGTATATTTATGTTTATTCAGAAAATTCATGGATTTATTTGTTCAAGTTTTTTCTGTGCAAAAAGTGCGAGAAATAGCGTAAACATTTGGCGCGTGTTTTATATCAAAACAAAACAACACGAGTTGGTAATTTGGTGAAAAACGAATTACTATTCGTACTTGTAAAACCAAACATACATAATATCGACAGCACCAATACAAACAAACTAACGGTATGCATATTAGTTAGCGCCTAAAACATTTAGTGCCAATTAATCGATTATCGTAAGGTATTCCAAATGTGACTGAGAAGCGCCAAATTCAGTGAACTAGTGTAGAATTCGTAATATTTAAAAAATAACGGTGGTTCAATGGCTCTTATGTGTATATGTGTTTATGAATAAGCCAAAAAATAAGTTAACGCTCATGATACACACCGATTGGCACAATTATCTGGCACACATTCGATAGTATATAACGTAATAATGTCGAAGAGACCTCGAGGGAACATACACAAGATTCGAGAATTCGAATTGGAAAAGGTAAGTTCATTGCTAAATTTAAAAATAAATAATTATGTTTACTCTTAAAGCGTTAGGTCAGTGCAAAACTTAAAAAATTAAAATTTATTCTGAGCTCTCTCATACCATCTTAGTGGTAAAATTTAATGTCTCTGGCGAGTTTAGTTATTGATTTATCGCGCGTTTAATGGTTTTTAACAGTACCGTTGTATAAGGAGGGAGCGAGGTCATCTTCCGATTTCATCCATTTTAACACTGTAGTGTAGCTTAAGTGGTTTAGGAGGCATGTACATTAAACTTGTTAAAGGGGGCGGCACGATCAAGTTTTCTCGTCATCCTGATCACTTATACCAAAGTAATTGGACTTTTTGAATCTAGCGCCTCCTGGTGGCGGCATCTATATGTACTGGTGCGTTAGAATCTCCTTGAATCTTTTTCGATTATCCAGTGAGAATTGCATGCCATTTCATTGATTGGAAGTGAAGTTATTGCGTTTTAAGTGTCAGTATGTTTGTCTTGTCGGTGCGAAAATGAGCTTCGAACAAAGAACCAACCATAAATTTTGTTTTAAAATTGGTAAAACTTTTACCGAAACGTTTCAATTGATAAAACAAGATTATGGTGATGATTGCCCATCCCGTAGCACGTAGTCCACGAGTGGTTTCAACGTTTTCAAAGTGGTCGTGAAGACATAAATGACGATCAACATGTGGGCCAATCAATATCCTTTATCACCGGAAATTCCACCGAAACTGCGTGTAAATTCATCAAAAATCAGCTGAAATCATAATTGAAATTTATGGAAGTGGAATTGAACATCTCCGAAACATCGATTTATCGCATTTTGACCGAACATTTGGACTTACGAAAGGTGTGTGCACGGTTTGTTCCGCACACATTGCCTGACGACCAAAAATAGCTCAGAATCCAACATTCGAAGGACGGTTATTTGACCAAACATCATATTTTAACCATTAACCACTCCCCGTATTCACCTGATATGGTACAGTGCGACTTCTTCCTTTTCGGAAAAATGCATTTGCGAGTGAAAGGAAATCGTTATGCAGAGGCAGTTCGAAAGGCTTGCACCGACTTGATGGCGGCCACACCGGCCAACGAGCTGAAACACTCGTTCGACATGCTTTGGGACCGTGCAAAAAGCTGTATTGAAGCAGAAGGAGACTATTTTGAATAAAATTAATTGATTTGTTCTGTTTTTTTTTTTAAGTCCTGTTCACTTTTGAGAAGTGACTATGCCGAACACGGTAGCTGAACGATGACTCCCGTTTGTTGTTTAGCAAAAAGATCAGTTACAATCATGATAGAGCATGAAAAAATGCATGAAATTCGTTCTGCCCACAAATACGGTCGTTTACGCTAAAACGCTTCAGGTAGACGTTTCAAAACCGTGGAACGATTTTATTGTGATCCACACCACGTTAATCAAAGAAAATGATGAACGTTGATATATTTTTTTTTTTTAGACTCATTTTGGTACGTGTAATGCATCCATTATGCGTTTGATAAATATAGGGTTCTCAGATACTTTGCCAGGATCTCTCTTGCGTTTACTTCTCGACCTCGTTTTTACAATGAATTAAGGTCTTTTGGCATGAGTACAAATAGCGTTGACACGCTTCATACCCGAAACTTTAACCAAACTATTGTTGAGGTGATCCATAAGAGATGCTTAGATCGTATGTTATGCCTATGATGATAACACGATAAATTTCAAACACTTTTTCTTTATCTTTTTCGATGTTATCGTCATTAACAGAGCTGAATGAACTACTCGCGAATTGAATTCGTTGTGAAAGACAAATACTTGTATTCGTAATAAATTAAACTCCCCCAAACACTTCTTCAACAATCAACGTTTTCGTAGTCATGATTCCATCATCCGACAAACTTTTTGCGACAAAAATAAACGGGCGTCAAGCAAACACTACTTGGCATATGGATATTAAATTTTAAACCCTGAAATTGCCTCATCGTTAAAAAAATTTTGGCTCGAAAACGCATCTTCTTGGAACTTTCCAAGAGCGAAGCGATCTCTTGGGAAGGCCGAGCGACTGCAGTTCTTGTACAAGCAGTATTTTGTATGTTTTTCAATTGAACGACGTAAAATGCACCAAGTAATTCCAAACGTCAGTCGGAGTTGCTGTGAACGGCGCCGAATCGACTCTCCATGGTCTTCGTGTACACTCTCAGCTACTGCTGCTATATTTTCTTCACTGCTTGCTGGAAGTGGTCTATTCGGTAGCATAGTAGCTGGATCTCAAGATGGGTGATGGTGCTGTGAATAGTACGCACAGTAGACCGATTACGTTGACCATTAGTTGAGCGAAGGGCGCAAAGCACATTCTTTACAGAACGAGAAATTCCGTAATACAGTTGAACGATTTGTAAACGTTCTTCAGTCATAAATCTTTCCATGCTGAAATTTCAAATAATACTGAACAAAAATAACATGTAAAATGGCTTGTCACGACTCATGCGTGATCTGTCAAAAAGATGCTATTGACAAAAACACCTCTACTTGGATCACCTGTTATGATTAGGCACAATAGAGCAGTCAGAATAATATGTGAAATCGGAAGCCTACTTTAACACTTTGTGCACTGACAATTTACAACTAATAAGGGTGGGTTGGGCATTACTGCTAACATTTATCATAAAGAAAGTTTAAATTGCTTAAACTTTTTTATAAAAAATATTTTTATTTTGAAAATCGTATGCTTAAAATCCATTAAATACATATGGTTACGAGAATTAAATTAAACTTTTGACAGAGTGTGAACTATCGCTGTCATTAGCTTCTCTAGATAAAACTAACCTCTGAAYTATTATATTATATTATTGATATATAGTATTAATCGATTAATGAGTCAAAACTGTGAAATCTTATTGTAAGCAAATTTCGAATACCGTAGTTTCAAAAAATCGAAGTAATGAACAGTTGCACCAAAATTATATACATTTACATATGTACTACTACAAAAATTATACATACACATATACATATATAAATATAAACATACCGACAATGTCGTAATAAATAGACGAAAACATACAATGACAGACAAAATATTTTGGCACAAAGCCAAAGAGAAATTTTTCGGCGGCAAGCAAATGATCATCGAATGCGTCGCACTTTCAAATCTATTTTTTTTTTTTTATTTNTTTTTTTTTTTTATTTTTTTTTGTTTAATACCTTAATCAATTTTCTTTTGTTATGGAAGAGAATCCCAAAAAATTAAGAATGAGTGTTAAAACCACAAGTGCAACCACAGAATTGGGTGCGATAAATAATCGATTAGCTCGCAACTATTCCGCAATTAAATAATTAAATGCTGAAGCGATTTATGCGAAATTTTATTGATGACTATACATTAGAGTGGGTTGATTGACAGGAAACCAAATCGAAAAGTTCTACAGATCATTAAGAACAACTTTGCTTAAGACAAAGACCTTTGAACTATGCGTCTAAAACCGGTTTCAAGACAGCGATTTTTAAAGCGAAATTTAGATTCGTCATGTGATAAAGTTGTCCGATCTGGCCGATTTTGTAGCAAACATGGACCTCAGATTCATAGTTGTTGTTGTTGGAACAGGTATCTAATCGAGTTAAGATGGTAAGGATTAAATAAGTTGCCATCGACGTCATCCAACGTTAGGACCACGAAACGTCCTGCTTCGACGGGGTCGGACCAAAGAGAGAAGGTTGTCAGATATATAGGGCTAACAGGGCATGCAAAGAGGTGGCCAGTGTTATGCTGAGACTCATTGCACAATGGACATATGTATGTTGTGTCAGGGTGTATTCTGGAGAAGTAGGAGTTTAACCTGCTACAGGATCCATAACGAAACTGTGCAGTAGTCACTCTCGATTCTCGGGGCAAATTGAGTTGTTCGTCTACAATGGATGGTAGTTTGACTTCAAGTACACCATTCACTGAGATTGACAGTGGCCCTTACATTAGGATAGAGTCTATAGTCAAACTGCTTACTTTCGACAACATTCTAAAATATTTGGTCAGATGGAAAAACCTAGATAAAATAAGTCTAAGTCATGGCGAAAGCTGGAAAATAGTCTATATAATGACGATATGAAACACTGTAAAGCAAATAGTCTTTTTCAGGAATAGCCGTCAAGGCTTTCTTCTATTTGGGTCTTATCTCCGCAATTGTGTCAAAACGGCGTGTCGCATTGACCTTTTGAGTTAGTTTAATATTTAGAAGTCGTCCGCAGTTAAATACGGTGGTAGCGGAACGATATGTGTCTGTCATATTTTGAAGTACGATTTGTCCTTTATTTCAAAATAGCCCTCTGTTTCGGCGATCACCTCTTGATTCGACGAAAATTTCTTCCCTTTTGCTATCTGAGAATAAGAAATAGCCGTTGTGTGTCTAATATTTAGAGGTTTAATACCCGATTATAAAAGATGAAATCACTTTACTTTCGGCCAAACTTTGCTTCAAAGGCATTTGGGTTTACGTAGATGAAATTAGAATTACTTTGCCAGAAGAACTATTTCTATAACACCTAAGGCTCGGATTGCAAAAACTGAGAGAAGTATATCATAGCAGGCAAAGTTCATACATATGTCTCAAGACATGGGCTGCAATCAGGTTTCAGACGCTCGTTATATCCAAAATAGTGTTTAACCAAAATGTCTTATTCGGAATTTGTCAACATAATCTTCTTGGTGTTTATTTTAAGCTTCTATAAAGTTAAATTTTTATAAAGTTAAGTTTCTATTAAGTGTTTTGTAATTAAACTTAGATACTTACTCGCAAATTGTATGTATTTATGATCCATGCCTTCTATGTTGTAGATCCATTTAGTCGATGAATTTGATATTTTACAAATTGTGGGTGAAGGATGGTTTGGAAAGATATTACTGGTCGAACATCGTGGCTCTCAAACCGAAATGGTATTGAAAGCCGTGCCAAAACCCTATGTCTCAATACGTGACTTCTTTCGGGAATTCCATTATGGACTGCATCTGGGTATACACAGAAATATAGTGACCACATATGACGTAGCCTTCGAGACGGCCGGTTTCTATATATTCACACAAGAGTATGCGCCACTAGGTAAGCAACGAATCTAACATTGCTAATGTAAATTTTGTCTATTTTATATATTTTTTGGTTCTCATCAACGCACTGAAGGTGATCTCACATCAAATATGGCCGACACGGGTGTCGGTGAAGAGTACACAAAACGAGTGGCTAAACAAATTGGCGCTGCGCTGGACTATATGCACTCAAAGTAAGTAATACCCTATTGCCATAAGAAGAAGAAGTTAAAAACGAGCTTCTGTCCTACCAAACAGAGACATTGTACATCGGGATGTGAAGCTGGATAACGTGCTCATATATCGTTCGGATTTCACGCGCGTTAAGATTTGTGATTTCGGCGAATCATATCAGGCGGGCACGATTGTGGAGCGACGCAACGAATGGTTACCTTACAGCCCACCGGAAGTATTAGAAATTAAACCGGAAGGCACCTACACGTAAGTGAGCTGTTATATATAGATATTTTTCCGTATGTAATTTCTTGTTTCTCATATTCTTCGTACAGAGCCGAACCCAGTCACGATGTTTGGCAATTCGGTATTGTCATCTTTGTCTGTCTAACTGGTTGTTTACCTTGGCAGAAGGCCGCCTCAGATGATCCGCGTTATGTACGTTACTTGGCCTGGTTTGGCGCCAATATTCTGCCCATGCGTCGTACACCGAAACTCTTTAAGTTGATCACTTCACGCGCTCAGCGCATGTTCAAGCGATTCTTAGATCCACGCGCCGAACGACGACCGAAGAATTTAACAGATTTATCAAAGTTCCTTGATGATCGTTGGTTGACTAAAACAGCCGAAAAAGAAATGGCCGAATATGAAACCGATGAATTATGTCCATCCATGTATTCCTTCCACAGCAGCCCCGATGAAAAGCATCGATTGCTGCACACGCTGGCCAACTGTGGCTTAGAAACGAATGTCGATAGGCAATCGAAGAAGAATCGTATCAAAGATTGGATCGAAGCTTCGGTCATAACGGAAGAGGACGAAGTAAGTAGTTTGAGGAACACATTTCAAAGGAATGTAGATATATTTTTTAATAGTAACTGCTTTGCGCTCGAACCCAAACATTATACCATTGTGTTATGCCTTTTTTCACAAAGCCAACTCTGCTCTTATTTTTACAGGAGGAACTGGAAGATAACTCACCCTCCTCATCAGTTTCTCGTGAACCGGTCGCTGGGCACATATCTTCCATACGCCATACTTTAGAGCAGACCAAAGCCATCAACACCACACTTAAAGATGCTGCACAAAAACATTTCGATCCGCGCACAGGTGCGCTCCAAGAAGGTCCCAGCGAAATGGGCGGTATCACGCAGACACAGCAAAAATCGTACAACGCTTCCAACGGCAACATATCCACCATGAATCATGGTGATAGTCTTTGCGGAAGTCTATTGACGTTGAGCTCGCGTCCAGATCTACTAGAAAGTCACTTAGAAATATATAATTCTGAATTAAATTTAAATCGTTTAGGTGAGCATAATAATTCTGCTCAATTCCACGGGCATAATCAGTCGCTTAGTAGCAGCAATTTACTTATGGTTGATTACGGTACAGCTTCTAAGGAAGGCGCCAACAACAATTTGTCTAAGAAGTCGATAGGCATAGACACTTATGGTCTGCCAAATGAATATCGAAAGAGCGCATTGAAAAGAACTAAATCTGATTCCGTAAAAACTGTTATGTTCGCTAGCATGCCTGCTATCAACGATAGCGATGCTTATGCTGCTGCCGGACTGAAATTGCCGCCAAAACAAACGCTAAACAATGCTAATACTAATCAAAAGCTAACCAGTGCTAATGCGCCCACTGACAACTATTTCACTAAAAATGCCAATAATACTAATGATAGTCATGTGACCACAGGAAACGGTGACACAGCAAAGGGGAATTCCTCTGTGACCTTAACGGGACTTGCTAATGCCTTTCATTCACTCGCCTCCATCACGTTGCCGAAGTCAGGCACTCCAGATCGGCAACAGCAGCAGCAACAACAGCAGGCACAACAACAGCAAGAACAACATCGACAACAACAACAACAACAACTGCAGCAACAACTTAGACAACAACAATTCGCCACATATTATATGAAACAACAAGAAAATGATTCCTCAATCAGGGATAGCGCTTACGGTTCAGCCGAGGTCAGTGAGGGGCCGTCAAGAACAGTTAGCACTGCTTCAATGAAACCACAATACAATGGAAATTCCAACCAATACAATGGACAGCAAGCACAATTTTCCAATCATGCACGTGCTATGAGTCCCGATGCACGCCAACGTCCGCCAGAAAGCCAGCAGATATATAGAGGTGCGCGCACGGGCAGCTTGAAAGATTCGGCGTACGACAGGATAACAGTTACTAATAACAACAGAAATCGTAGATAAAGTGTTTAAAGCTTGTAGAGATATCCATTTAAAGGAAAGTGATACCATTGATACATACATACATAAATATGTCTAGTTTTATAGTCCGCTCTTCGTCTTTACCATTGTTAAATTTCCCATTTTTTAAACCTAAATATAAAGCCATAATAAATACGTACATACATATTACATGTATAAAAACACAACTTTTTTAATTGGAAAAAAAATGGTTTATATAGGAAGTTATCGGATATGTGGAGCTAGTCAACGACCTTTTTCTCCTATTTTTCCGTTGTGCTTATACCCAAACAGTATTTTCCAAAAATAAGTTAAAACAGATGGTCAAGTACTTTCGAATTAGAAAAATAACCAATGATAATGTCCAAAAAATTTGGTATTATATTTGAACTAGTATGTGAATATTCCAAAAGAATTTAATCGTTTTTGCTCAATTGACAGCGCCATCTATCGGTAGCAGGGTTGCCAATTTATAAATTGCATTTAAAATAAAATTTTCATTTTTTTATGTGGAAAACCTATTTTTTAATCTCCAACAAAAAAAAATTAAAAGTTAATTCAGGTTTTTCGAGATACAAAAAATTAAAATTTGATTTTTTAATTGAATAGTAAAAATAGAAATTTAAATTTTTAATCCCAAAATCAGGGCTAAAAATATAAAAAATATAGATCGTTTGAATGTATAAACTTTCCATCCGCAGATCTAGATTGTTGAATATGATGATTCTGTCGATTACAGATGAATACCTCGAGTTGAAGCGAGAATCGAGTATGACCTATGCGCGGCTTCGTTAGCAGGGACTCGCATGACACTAACCATCTCTTTGCACGCCTGCTAACCCTCTGTTTATGATCAGACTCTGTCGAAACAGCGCGCTTCCTGTTGGATGACCTCGATGACAACAATGTTATCCTTACCATCATAATTAATATAACGCCCTAAAATCAAGCTAGAATTCAAGTTATTTCTAATTTATTCTAAAATTATCGAATCAAACGCAAACATCTTTTCCCGAAACTGAATATTTTTTGGCCCCCAACACGACTGAACTTTTTTTTTTTGAATCCGACTTTATTTCTCATAATCTCAATCTAGAGAGCTGTATTTTTTGAAACGGCCTTCGAACATTGCTATTTCAATTTGAACTATTTATTTGCATAAAATCTTTCTCCGGCGAAAAACTTCTATAGTTTGCAGAAGATGTAATAGGTTCCCCCCTTTAACTTTACTGACAAATAACTACTAAATAGACACTGAGAAAACGGACCAAAAGATCGTGGCGGGATATGCCGGTCGATCCCACGTTGTATATAAAAATTAATGTACGACCCTAATGCCAAGTTTACTTTTTTCGACATAGCGGCATTTAAAAAAAAACTATTGACGGATTTCGTTCCATCCAGCATATTAGATTGCACCACATATCACAGAATTAATGATATAGGCAATTGCAATCAATCCGAAGGATTTGTACATAGAAATGATTCGTTATATAGCAATTTAACTGCTCACTATATCCAATACTGTCTGCGGCATATTTTATGCTGCTACAAACCATTTGTAAGCACTACGCTGTCATATATTCACATAAATCCTTTTATGGAAGAGTACAACAAATTCCGATTTTCAGTAACACCATAGCACACAAATATACCTAATTAATGCAAATGCCTCTAGTCTTATACACTATTAAAGCTGTGGCACCCATTTACGAGTTATTAAACCTTCGAATATTGGCAATCACTTATCTCAATAATTAAAGCACTATTTCATTACGCACTTTATAAATCACTACCTAAAATTGTAAATAAGACGATTGCTTCCTCTTTTGTTAATCCTTAAAAAACGTAGGCTCCTTTATTTCTATAATATACAACGTCCAAGCGTTTAATAACAGCATAATGCAATATGCACTGCTGAGAGGTGTTTGTATTGATTCCGTTTTCTTTTGAATTTACTTAAGTGGAATAAATCTGGAGCTGTGGGTGGCACCAATACCGGGCCTACCGTGCTTGACTGGTTTGTATGTGAGCGAGAATTCTCCCAAATAGTGACCAATCATTTCGGGTTTGATTTCAACCTTGAATAAAAAAGTCATTAATAAACGTAAGATATGTTTTAACTGACGGTTAATTTACCTGTGTGAAGTCCTTGCCGTTGTAAACACCGATGATGGAACCAGTCATCTCGGGTACAATGATCATGTTTCTCAAATGAGTCTTGACAATGTCTGGTTTCTCATTTGGTGGAGCTTCTTTCTTGGCCTTACGGAGCTTCTTGATCAATGCCATTGGCTTACGCTTAAGACCACGGGAGAAACGCCTGCGTGCACGGCTGTGCATCAGTTCAACCAACTGGTTGCTACAAATAAAGTTACAAATTAACAACTGGTACTATATACAACACAAATATTGTAACACTTACTTGGGCATATCCAACAACTGGTCGAGGTCCACACCACGGTAGGTGAACTTTTTGAAGGTACGCTTCTTCTTAAGAGTTTCTTCGACCTGCGTTTAGAAAGATGCATTATCAATAAAATGTACAAGTTGAAGTTTTTGTTTTGCCACTCGTCATGTAATGTGCCTTGAGATGCAAATATACACAAATGTAATAACAGCACAGCATATTTCACACATATTTTGTACATTTGAGCACATTGAACAAACGGATGGATAATATTTTTATAGATTTTTGTCAAGAAATTTACCTCAGCCATCTTGACAATTCTGATTTGCAGAACGGAAAGAAAATTGAAAGAGAAAAGTGCTGCCAAATCAAAAAATCGACATGGAATATGTCAAGGTTGGTGCTACTGATTTGTTTATTTTGAATGTCAATTTACAGTGTTGCATTGTGAACTGAATAAGAATTTAAAGATAGAATGAAAAGTGCCGATTTTTTTTAAAGTTTAATTAATTTGAATTAGGAATAATATTCTAAATAACGGTACCAAGTATTATATATATATATTATAAATTGTGAGTTGAAGGCCATCACAAAAAGTACAAATAAAAAGAGTTTCGATTACTGGAAAATTGTTGACATAGATGTATTACATCTGTTGAGGATAACTTTGAAGGCGACAAAATAAATATTGATGAATAATTTAATAGTTTACGTTTTATTTACATTTTTTCTGTACTTTATTGATATTTTTTATATATACATTTACAACTACAATTAAAAAGTCAACCAACAGGGGTATCCAGCGATTTTGGCTTGAAACTTTAACTGCCCATTATCGAACTAGTTCGCATTCCCATTTTCTATGACCTATTTTGCCTCATACTAAATTAACATAATAACATACATGTTATTAAAAAGTCACCATTAGAAATTTAGCCAAATTGGATATATATATATTTTTAAATTTATTTATAAATGCTTACAGCTTTACAAACTATAAAACTTCAGATATTTAATTATGTATACATCCTCTTGGCAATTTGTGAGCTTTAACAACATGTCATTAAATTATTCATTTGCACTTGCTTTAGGTAAATATTATGAAAATTATTTTTCCTTTTGCTTGAGTTTCTCTAATCGTTCCACTTTTTTCACAAGTTCATCTATATTTAAATCATCAGGAACATTGAATCCGCCCTAAAAATTTTAAAATTACAAAAACTGTTAAAATATTTTGCGATTTTAATATTGTTCATACTAATTACTTGTCTTTCTTGCAAATTTTGTATTTTGCCCTCAATCATAATTTTATTACGCTGCATTTCTGATTCGGATATCAATCGCTTATTGACAGACGTTATAAACCTAAAAGAATTTTAATCATTAATTCAAATGCATAAACATATATATAGAAAATGAAATTACTTTTCAAGTAAATTGCATTCCGCTATTTCTTTTTGTAGTTGTTGTTCTTGTTCCTTGATTTCTGATTGCATTTTAGCGATGGTTATACCATTTTCCAAATGCTCCTTCAATTTAACGTAATAAAATTCTTTCAGATATTCCAAGTGTAAGTCATGCAGCTGTGTGACCTTTTGCAGTTCTGCACATTCTTCTAATAAATTACAAACATCATCAGGCAGGTCGCAGAGTTCCAGTCCCACAAGACGCAGCTGATGCTCATAGTGCTCCCCTGTAATGCAAGCCATTATTAAGATTTTTTTTCAGCTGTGATAAGGAAACTCACGTAGTTTTTGCAATGCCTGCACTTCATCTTGCAATTGGAAATGATCTAATAAATATGCATTATAAGTTTTATTTCATGTAAAAAGTATCCACTAAATATTACCCATTATAATTTATATTTATCCAATTGCGTGTAAGAAATTTCTGTTTATTTTACTTTTCAATTAAACGTCAAAATTATAGATTGTGACTTTGGCAGCACTATGAGCAGTATAATTTTGTATATGTAACACTACTTGTAATAGCGACATCTGTATTTGAATTATGAAAAAACTTTTTGGCGCTCAATTAAACAACAGCTGTTTAGTAGATGCATTTTGTAAACAATTTGTCATAAGAAAATTCCGTAGTAAATTTTAAGAAAATGCAAGACGATTTAATACAAATTAGACGTTTTTTAAAAGAACGATTACAGCGTGACTATACAACTTTACACGGGCATGAGGCGGAACGTGAAAACGTAAAGCAGTTGCTACAACGAACTGCAGAACTGGGAGAATCAAATTCAGTACTGCTCATAGGCCCGCGAGGATCGGGCAAAAGTACGGTAAGTTCTTAAAAAAAATTAATGTAAAAATTTATAATTGCTTTTATTCTAGCTAATTAATGCAGTGCTGAGTGACCTTGTGCCTAGCACAGATTTTCAACAAAACACAATGCTTGTGCATTTAAATGGCAATCTTCATACTGATGACAAATTGGCACTCAAGTCGATCACAGTACAAATGCAGTTGGAAAATGCTGCCAATGGAAAAGCTTTTGGTTCTTTTGCAGAAAATTTAGCATTTCTGTTGGCATGCCTGAAATCAGGCAACAAACGTTCTAAAAGTGTAATCTTCATATTAGATGAATTTGATCTCTTCTGCGCGCATCACAATCAAACCTTATTGTACAATTTGTTTGACGTGTCACAATCGGCACAAGCACCGATCTGTGTGATAGGAGCAACATGCCGACTGGATGTCATTGAATTGTTGGAGAAGCGGGTAAAATCCCGATTTTCACACAGGTAATAACTTAACCAAAGTTCAATTTTAAAATGAATTATATAATATTAAAATTATAACATTTGATTGCAGACAAGTTTTTCTTTTTCCGACATCGGATAATTTTGAAAAATATCTGGATCTGTTCGAGACTTTACTAAGCATACCTACCGAAAGAGAATTGAAGCAAATCGCAGAACGTATATCGCATTTACCGAAACTGAATTCAACTGAGCTAACAATGCAACGTTGTCATTTCAATCCTGCGAAGTACAAATTTAACAGAAAATTTATTGAAGCTTGGAATAATGGCATAGCTGTGTTAATAGATGATGCCAAATCTGTGGCAGTATCTTCGTTAAAGACACTATATGAAATCGATAAAAGTGAATCATTTCTAAAAATATTCATATTCCGCCTTGTGTCGCAATTAGATCCGGACGCGCAACCAAATATCACCGCAGAGCAAATGTCCGAAATAGTTGCAACCTACACAGTTGATCCGAGAGTGGAATTATTGTGTGGCTTATCCGTGCTCGAATTGTGTCTCGTCATTGCCATCAAACACCATTCTGAAATCTATGATCGCGACCCTTTCAATTTCGAAATTATTTTCGCACGTTTTGCAAAATTCGCTAAAGTGTCGACCACTATGCAGGGCATAGAACGTGCCGTCTCACTTAAGGCATTTGAACGCCTGCGTCATATGGAAGTAATACTACCAATTTCTAATTCAGTTGGCAAAGTACAAAAAGACTTCGAAATGCACCGCCTGGCATTAACGTATGGTCAGTTGAATGATGCTGTACAAAAATATCAAGCTCTGCCAACAGAGGTAGCGCAATGGGCGCAGAGCTCTATAATTTAGGCAAATAGAAATATGATTACGTTAAATATTTTTATTACATTTTAAGGCTTATTCAGTATTTTAAGTCATTAAATTTATAAGAATTGAACAGTTAGTTGTTTTATTCAGTACGTTTTCATACCACTATATATTTCCGGCTAACCCAGCAAAAGTGTGAATATTAGTTGCTGCCGCGTTTATCGCATTTATACCAACATCCGGGACAATTCTCATAAGGACAATCGCAAGGATCTTTTTTAAAAATGTTTTATTGTTTTAAAATCGGGCATTTTCCGTCCGTTTAGAAGGTTTTGGTAAATTTGTACAAATATAAGTTTAAATTCTGCCGTTAACGAATTATTTACTTTGCCGTTATACTTCGACACAGCGTTGCAATTGCTCAGATTGAATCTAAACTGTGTTCGAACAAAGAAATTTCTTTTGCCCTTTATCATCATTTTCTCTTTTGGTGTAGCATACATAACTCTCTTTATGGAAAAATTCGAATCAAATTTTTAAAATCTGTTAAGGTTGTTGCAGCAGCCTAAAATAATTGTTAAATGGTTTTTAAAGACAAAGTTGCTGAATCGACAGTTCTTGGCTATGAATAAATTTGGATTGTTCTGTCGTTGTAGTGCCCTTCCCCCGATAATTAGAGGATTGCTACCGTCTTGACAGGCCTTGGCTGGATAAAAATTCGGTTATGTCGATTTGATGTCGGACCAAAAATTGAATGAGGACTATTGTGAAAGCGAGAACATTAATTTAAACAACAGAACAAACATTTTTTCACAAAATGAAAATTCTCTTTTTTTTATATACCCCAAAAATCGATTTACATACGAAGTTTTACAGTTATGTAGTTTTTCAGACCATACTGAGATTTTGAATTCATTCATGAAGTATATACAGATATACATACAAACTTATACATATATATAGATATGTATGCGTATACTCCTAGAAATAAAGGTGTCTGGTTTAAAGAGGGTGATGATAACAGCTTTTCAGACCACATGTCAGCATATAGTATCTAGGCCATTCAAACTTCCATATCATCAATGCTCTCTACTAAATCGATCGATAATGCTAATTCCCTCATGATTTCGGCACCAGCATAATTCGTTGAACAATGCGATCGGCTTGAGCTTAAGTATAAATTGGGCTGTTATGTCAACCGAGAGCACAGTGTGTGGGAACAAGCACGTTAGAATGCTTAGCAGCAGTACCCAAAACAAAAAAAAGTATTATTCTTAGTGTATTAGTGTCAACACTGACTGCAACCAAAACAAAAAGGAAAATATGCATTCCACTTTGCTGCTAACATTTGGTGTTTTGCTCTTACTAACTACACTAGCAAACCATTGTCAGGGCAATGAAAGTCCAGGGTTCTTCTTGAAGATCACTAAGAATGTACCGCGCCTGGGACGACGCTCGGACAGTTATTTCTTGAAGAATATGAAGACAATACCACGCATCGGACGTCGTGGCGATGGGGTAAAAACGAAGTTTTATGGAAATATGTTTTTCTTTTAAAAATTTATTTTGTTTTTTTCAGGAACTGGACGTCGCCCTTTTGCCTTCGCTTTCTAAACGTATGCTTATGAATCCAGCCGAAGCAGCTGCAGCCGCGGAACGTGAATACAGCCTGGTGCAGCCGGTCACTTCGAATACACTCATTGAGTTGCTGAATAAGAATGCAATCGCGCCGGATAATATAAAATTCATACACTGGAAGGACTTCGATCGTGCACTACAAAGGGACACGGAATTGTATGGCAAGCTGATTTCGTTGGGTCGTAAGCCAGATCAACGACTGAAGGCCGATCTCAATATTGATATGAACAGTGGCTTTACACCGCTAGTATCGAATTCCAACAGCAATGATTATATATATTACAACAAAGACGTGGACGAGATGTACGCGCCGAAGTACGGTGGAGATTTTATGCGCTACAATCAACTGGATTAGGAATAAGCAAGCATTTTTTGAAGATTTTGTAACATTTATTGTATTATTGGGCATTGAATATGGTAATCTATTATGGTGCGGGCATATCTAGTCAAAAATAAAATATTAGGTGAATTAACCTACATCTAACCTTAATCACTTTGTGTTCAACAGCAATTTGCTCATGCATTGAATTTCTATTCCCACCGTCTTGTTGGCATATCTGATGATCTGTGCTCAAAAGTGTTTAAGCCCTGACCTCGAAAACTTGGGATACTCCATCCAAGGAAGTGTTGAAATGTTTCGACCTTGTTTTCTTCCATATAGTTTTGCAGCTGACGTCCGGTAAGATTTACAACTAGGGAGAAGCTAGCCTTACTAAGGGTTGGATATTCGCGAAACTCAGCTATCCAGTGGTAGAACACAGGAGGAAAGTATACTTTTCGTGACCAGATCGTCAGCTTTACAATTATCTACAATTCAGCTGTGAGCTGGCGCCTATAGTAATCTTATCACAAAGTTACTCGAAGCCATTAATTATGAGGTTATGTCATTCTTAACCAGCTCTGAATGAACGGTTATTGAGCTCAAGGCTAGTATCGCCGCACTGCTATCAGAGTGGATATTCAATCCTCGGAAGGAGGCTGCACTCCTAAGCAGCATATCTACCGCTAACTAATGGCAGTAACCTCGCCTTGAAAAACACTGTAATAGTCAAGAAGTCAGAAGCTGAAGATGAGAGTTCCAGACAATACACCCTTCCACATGGTCGCCAGAGTTTGGTTTGGCGATTTCATGATTCAAACGATCGTTTATAAAGTCAAAGCTTGGGATGATTTCAGAATTTGCAAATATCTGTTAATTTAGAAACTCAGATTATCACAGTCTGATAGTAACTTTCGCGGTCTTACACTTTCCGGCGCAATCTATGGACACTATTAGCAAAATAGGATATCTAGAAATATCCCAGTGGCTAATACCTTAAACCTTACGGTTTCCTCAGATTATGATACGATAGACTGCAGGGCACTGACCTACCTTTACATTAAGCGTGTATCAGACCTTGTAAATCACTTCAGAATGAGCATTTCGTCTGGGCAGCGCCTGAATAACATACCTAAGGACATTTTTTAATATCGACAGCATTATTTTAATCATAAAATGCTTTTTGATTGACGTCACGAATCAATTGTCTGATAGCTCTAAAATTCATACTTTTTTGAGAACTAGATTTAATTACAAAACATTTCGATTCACTATTTGTTATATTTTTTGAAGAACTTGAGACGTTAGCGACATCGAAAGCTTAGTGAGGAGCGGGCTGGACCTCTACGAGATATACGACGCCATAGTTTAGCGAATTAATAGACAGCGGCTACGTTAGTTAGATCACGTCGTTCGAATGAACGAAAACACTCCAGCTCTGAGAGTATCCGACGCAGTACCCGCCGGGGGGAGAAGTGCAAGAGGAAGACCTCCACTTCGTTGGAAAGAGCAGGTGGAGGAGGACCTGGTTTCGCTTGGAATCTTCAATCAACATGGAAAAGAAAGAACGACTGGCGCGCTGCGATAAACTCGGCTATAACCGCATAAGCAATGTCTACGCCACTAAAGAAGAAGGCCGCCCTCGTTTTAGTATCATATAACCTTCTTTCTCATTTTTGTTGATAAAAAATTAACTGACAAATGAAAATGCATAAGTCTAGATAAGATACTTCTTATGCACAGTAATACCTGTGCAATTTGACTGACAAATCCCTTTGGACACACCAAACACTTGAAGTCAAATAACAATTGCAACTGCACTCGCATACAACCGCATTGACAGCGAATCGCAAATGCTAAGAGTGATTGGCAGGTGGTGGCTGCGCAATAAAAACACACATACATACATACACACACAGTCAAAAACCAAGAAATAGGAAAACCGCATTATAAACTTTTCCAAATAAATGTGACTGAAGCAATGTCGGTGCGCAAGTGCTCAGCACGACACACAATGGCAGCCACAAAACACCTGATCACTCAAGGCGTTTGCAAAAATACAAAAACAAAAGCAAGGCAATTGAATAAATAACGCAAGACTGAAAAAACAAACGTGTCGGGCATAATATTACACACTTCAGGTGCCATTGTGCGCCAAAAGACTTTGACATTTACCTAGTGACACATCTATGCGGACGGACAACAAATCAGTTGGCTATGCGCACAACTAATGCTATAACTTTTCATCCAGTTTAAATTGTGCAAAATTATGGCGCTAATTAATTAGTGTATAAATTAAAATTAATTATAATATTTATGTGGCATTGTTTAGCAGATAATGCCATTGAAAAATGCACAGCAATGCAGTTAACAGCGCAAATGTGTGTGTGCGAGCACACTTACGAGGGCAGTCCGATAAATTTTTGACTCAAAAAGAAAACCAAAAAATTGGAAAAAGATTATTTCTCAACTTAATCTTGGCACAGTGATGCTCCAACTTCTTTGACCGGTCTCAAAAATACATTTTCTGGAGGTCTGCAAAGTAGGTCACCGTGGTGGCGATAACCTACGCATTGTGCCCAGTTAGTGACTTTTTCAAGTTAGAATACAAAAAAGGTCACACGAGGTCAAATCTAGAGAATACCGAGGTTGGAGTATCCACCAATTTGGATATGTTAATGTCGAAGCACGTTTTTCTTCGTCAAATGGGTTATTTTTTTCGGCAATTAGCACAGTAGAGCTATGTGATCATTAAGCTTTCCTTCAAGTAGTCAATGTTGATTATTTTTTATGATTCCCAGAATGCAGTGGTCATATACCCTTCCGGTTGATAAAATAGTCTTCGCCGGGTGAAGTCCACTGTTTTGACTGGTCCTTGAACTTTGTCGGCGGTCTCGCAACGAAACAGGTATTCCGATGAAAAGCCTGCGACGATGTATAGAAGGTACGAAAGCTCAGATAAGACTTCCATAAAGTCAGACGAAAAGCTTAATGCAAGGAATGGAAGGTCCCAAAGCTCAGTAGTGGCTTTCATGAAGTTCTCTTTCCAAAAAGTTTTTCAGTAGTCAGACGAAAAGATTGATGCAAGAAATGGTAGATCCGAAAGCTCAGCAGTCATGAAACTKTTAAGTAGTCATATAAAAAGCGTGAGACGGGGAAAAGATGGGATAGAGATCTGGGACTCTAAAAGCCAAAGCTGAATAAGTGGGTAGGAAGATATGAATAAATTAGAAGCTGTTTGAATTCGATTCCGCTCGTTGTTGAAAGCTCATTTATAACCTTGTGGAAAATTATTGCTGAAGCCATCCAGAAAATCTTATTAAAATATGTTCTGGGACCCCTTAGAAGAACTCTGTTGGACGATGATAACAAAGGTAAAGCCCGGAATGATAAATGGCGATACCAATATACAAAGTTACGATGTACAGTTAATGATGTCGTTCCATGCATTGCAACAGGTTTTTCATGCCCAATTTTTCTTGCAAGATATGATGATTGAGCTTTGATATGATTACCATTTTAGCTATCTCGGGCATCTTCACTTTCATCACGTTATTCTCCATGGTAGCCGCTTTCGGAATTCCTGGGTATAGATTATCAAAAACCGATGTACGACTTTGAGGCACATTTTCCAAGATTTGCAGACAAGCCCGTTTCCGCGTACGATCAAAACAAAACTACGTGTCCGATTTGACACTGAAAGTTGGACCATAGTCGATAATAAGTACGTACTAGAATATTCTAGAGAATAGTACATTTCGGTGAGGCGCAGTAAACATTGGACCACCCTCGTACACAAGCAACAAATCTTGCGATTTTGGCAAGTCACCGCCGCAGCACTGCCATTATTTCGCTTACCATTGCAGGCATTCAGCTGTCACTTTGCAGCAAGTTGCAGAGCGGGGATTCTATGCACCAACACAGCAAACCTATGCTAATACACAATGCCATTGCACAATTTAATTGCACAGATTTGCTGCACATTTAACAGCAGTCAGACGCGGAGCGGCGAGTGGCATTTGATGCTTTTGTATTTTGTAGGCAATGCAGCGCGAATACAAATGCAGCAGTCACCATTACTCTTACACACACACACACACGATTGTTTGTGAAAAGGTGGTACATGGGAAATGGCAATGACAGCAGCAAGCGGAGTGTTCGCAGCATTCCAATATAATTAACAAGCCCTCCACGCGTGCACTGAACGAGTGGCTAAGTACGTCTGCTGGTCACTGAGCATTAGAACGTGCTGGCAGGGGGAAGCATTGTTGCGCTGTTGAGCGGTGCTGTCAAAGCGCGCTGCCGCTTCGGTGTCATGTTAATTCCATTTTTATCACATCATGAGGCGTTCATTTATCATTTCACCGCAGATCTACGTTGAAGCGCAATTTTTCTCACTTTCCACACCTCCACTCATGCGCATTGCACTGAGGTGTGTGTGTGTATGCGCGTGTCTTTGCTGCACTTGTTTGTCGGTTTGATATTTGTCACATTACTTGTTGTTGAGTACTTTACTTATGCGCATGGAGTTGCCCCAAGAACTGGGTGATTTATGACACTGATGCGTGTAATTCTCGCAAACAATTAGCACAGTTTTGTTGCAATGTTCGGACGTGAGTTGTTGCAATTGTTTATATTATTATTCTTTGGTTCAATTATGTTGGGTTCGCCTTTATGGAATAATACCTGAGTTAATACAAATTCAATTAAAATATCATCGTAGCATGATCATATAATTAGTTTCGTGATTATGAGCTCCTGTTAACGGATTATAATAAAATTTTAATTAGATTACGTTCACATGAAGCATATAACCGACTTGAAGATTCTTTAGTACCTAAACAGAGAATAGTGACTTTGCCAAGAAGTTGGTATGTGCCATAGATGGCTAGAAAATATTTGAGGCTTCGCACTGCGACCTACGTGCAATTGTGCAATTCCAGGAGCTTGCTGCACGTGACATAAGCGATAAGATACCTGTCCATGTAGATGGAACCTATGGCTTTGAGCTTGCTTCAACAAATTGCTCGCCAATCTAGTATTAGGTTTTCTGGAGTTTCCGATTTCATGTCGCAAAACCGGCAGTTTGCGCAAGCGACTATATGTCGGTAAA